GAGGGCGCCGGAGGTGGAGGAGGAGGAGGAGGAGGAGGAGGAGGTGAAGGAGGAGGAGGAGGAGGCGGAGGAGGAGGAGGAGGAGGTGTAGGAGGAGGAGGAGGAGGAGGAGGAGGAGGAGGAGAGGAGGAGGGGAGGAGGGGAGGAGGAGGAGGAGGAGGAGGAGGAGGAGGAGGAGGAAGATGTATCCGGCGCGGCCGTCCCAGAGCGCTCTGGACCGCTCGCGCGAGCGCTCAAGAAGGCTCTCTGGAAGGCTCTAACAAAACTTGTCCTGGGCCCGCCCGTTCTTCGGCGGCGAGCGCGGGCGGGAAGTGAGGAGGGGCGGGCCTTCTCAGAAGGCTCGGAAGTCCCCGGGCCGTCTGAGAAGTTTTCTAAGCCTTCCCCGAAGACAGAGAAAACTTTTCAGAAGACGCGTGGGCTTCAAATGGGTACAATGCCGAACAGCAAAGGTGGTCCAAAACCAACAGCGGCCGCTGTTGCGCAGGAGGTTTCTGTGTCTTCAAAGAACAACGTCCGCGGCGGCGCTGACAGCGAATCCTGTTCAGAATGAACAGGAACTGCTGTTGGACATTGTGCCCATTCTTTCCGTACCCATTCCGATCGTCCCGAGACCTCCTCGCCAACCTCATCGGCCGAGAGGTCCTGCGAGCAGAGGACCACCCGGCAGTCCCGGAACAACGGCTCGCGGAACGTTCCCCGGCTGGGGGTTGCCCCGCTCATGACCACGACGGCCTTCGCCTCCAGGGACGGAGTGATGCAGAACGGGGAGTAGATGCAGCAGCTTCAGGAGAGGACAGGACTACCCCAGCAGAGCACCAGAGTAGCAACACGGAGGTGATGAGGCGGGCCGAGAAGCACGAGGGACACAGCCAGGAGACCCCGAGAGAGAACAGGTGCAGCTGGGGCAGGGGGGAGAGCACGGCCATGCGCACCTCAGTGAAATTATTCGAACTGGGTCGTGGCCGCCCGGACCAAACACGCGGCTTCAGAAGAGGACGGGACGATATCAGCAAGCAGAGGGGCAACTGGAGGAGCGTGAGAATGACGGCGAGGATGGACCGAACAAAGTCATTAAAAACTACGCAAATCAAAGCATTCGGATCTGCACGCGGATCTCTCGCATCGTCGCTGGGCCCCCGTCCCTGGCGGCGCCCCCGGCGCTGCCAGGAGGGCAAAGAGCAGATCCAAGAAATCCGCGCGGACCTCCTGAAGTTCATGGTTTCGAAAGTTGTGTCCTTCTTCTAGGGGTGGGGGACGATCGAGAGAAGGGCGAGACTCCTGTTTTGATGGCGACAAGAGGTAAAGCCGACATATGGCATTCTTCTCACAATAGGTTGATACTCTTTACGTGCAGTTTAGGAATCAGAGCTCGCTGTCTAACTGGTGACATTATCCAACTCAAAGATGGCACATGGGCGTAATCCCATTAATCTACGATGACGTCCGTATGAATACGGACTCTCTTCAGCTGAGTCTGCCAGAGAAGGTGCGCACCAGTTAGGATCAAGAGGTGGGTAAGGACGCCGAGAAGAGGAGAACGGCTGCAGGAGAGATGCGGGGGGGGGCGCAGAGAGGCGAGAGGAGAGGCAGGAAGATAATCCCTTCAACCCTTTGGGCTAAGAAGGTCTGACGAGTGGCTTCTTTCCTCTTCGTTCAACCTCTTCTTTTCTGTAAGGCTTACCTCCCCATCCTCCCTGTTGTTTTGTTTGGGGGGGGCGCGAGGTGTCAGAGCGCCCAAGATGGCCCAACATGGCTACAAGACGGCCCCCGATGCTCCAAGATGGCCTCCAAGGCGGGTCAAGTTGACAAGCGAAGGCTCAAGATAGCTTCCAACATACCTCCAAGATGCCCGACGAGGGCCACAAGACGGTTCCAAATGCGCTCGGAGCCCCCTCAGGACCCCTTCACGAGGCACAGACCCTTCAAAAACCTAAGAACACTTACTGATGTGCCTCCCTGCTGATTCGCTTCCGATACCCTTCTGAAGCCTCGCGATGGCCTCAAGATGGCCCAGGAGAGGCCCAAGAGGGGCCCAGGAGGCCGCGCACAATGCCCAGCAGCACGGCGCCTGTGTCGTGGCTGCTGTGAGGAAGAACAGATCGAGGCCGCCGCCGCCCAGCAGGCAGCGACGAGGCGCCACGCGAGAGCTCCAGAAGCCCGCCACCGTCGATCAGCACATGTGTGCCGGCCGCGCGGTCCGCCGGCGTCAGGCGAGTCGACAGGAGAGGGGAGGCCTGGGCCTGGCAGGGACCACCAACCGCACCACCGGTCTAACCAACAGATCTGGAGGGCGGAGGAGGAGGAGGAGGAGGAGGAGGAGGAGGAGGAGGAGGAGGAGGAGGAGGAGGAGGAGGAGGAGGAGGAGGAGGACGAGGCCACCGCCGCGTCGTGGGGCCGCCGCCGCCGCGTATCGTGGGGCCGCCGCCTCGCTTCGCCGGTGCCCGGGGTGCCCGCCTGGCCAGGGCTGCTCCGCCGAGGGCTGCGGCGCCGTCCGTTGCGCTGCGCGGCCGGGGCCCCCAGGCACGGAGCCCCCTCCAGGGCCCAAGGAGCCCCGCAGACGGCCCCAAGAGGGCCCAAGAGCGGACCAAGAGCGCCTCAAGAGGGCTCCCAGAGGCGGTTCCGACGGCTCTGGGGGTGGGGGGGCACGACATCGGCGACCTCCCCGGCCCTGGAGGCCCGCAGAAGCTCTGGGGCACCCGAGGGTCCTCCACGACCGGCGAAGCATTTCTTCTACGAGCAATGGGCTCCAACATTTCTCGTAGCACGATTTCTTGAGGTATGCATCCGCCGTAGCTCCAGTGGCCAGCGTCGCGGAGGCACGGGCGGAGCCATGAGGCACGAGGCCACGGGCCTCGAGAGAGGCCATCCAGCCGCGAAGCGCCAGACCGCTCCAGCGCCACCCCTACCCGCGCCAGGAGGCGCTGGCAGGCGCGTGCAGTGAGCGGCGCGTGTAGTGAGCGTTTTTTGATTCGGCGTTTCGGCATTGGGCGGAAGGGGGGGGGGTCTGGCTCCAGAACTCTGCTCAGTGCGACTGTTTTTGGCAGTGGGTCCTATGAAGGGAGACTCCACCTGCTCGAAACAGGCGACAAAAACAGCCAAGATCTGCTCCAGGAGGGGGGGGAGAGGGGGGGTGCGAGGGTCCGCGCCGATCGGCAAAACAATGAATAAGAAAACGATCACATAAGGGGACCCAGGACTGCAGGACGGTGGCCGTGCAGGGGCCCTGAGTGAGCAGCACCGAAAGGGGCCCCTGACCCTGTGGGAGGCGACCTGGGTTAGGAGGGTGAAAACATCAGGGATAGGGGGTCTGTTCTGCAGGCGTATCGAACCAAGCTGCCGAAGACGGGGACCTCAGTGAGGCCACGTCTTCATCGTGTTCTCAGGGTTATGGGGTTCTCTTGTGCTCGATAAAGGAAAGTGGCCGTGCAGGGGCCCTGAAGGGCCTCTGAACCCTCAACTGCCACCGCGGGCCCAACAGGTGCACAAAAGGTGTACGCTGCTTCACCCCACGAACCTTGCCTCCCCGTTGCCGTCCGCTAGAGGCTCTTGAACCCAACCCGCAAGGAGCCAGGAGAGTCGGTTCTTGAACCATACGCTGCACAGAGAGGCCACGTCAGGCCGTGCGGTTACAGTCGACTCGTATCAGAAGGATGCGCGATAAGGATGCAAGGGCCTTGGACGCTCATATCGAAGCTTCTCGAGCGGGACGCGGCCAACGGAAGTGGCGAAGGATGGACCGAGGAGGCAAAATTCAAGGGCACCCTTGGGAAAATTGCCCATTCTTCCTATACGGGTTGACTGCACGCGATGATGACAGGCCCGTCGGCAGGGAACAGCCGAATCGGTAGTCGGGCACTGGGTCAATAAGGCCATGGTCCATGAACCACCGACTCGAACCACCAGCTCGAACCACGCACTTGTATCACAACGTCGTCACACACCACGCACCGCATTGCACTTCAATCGCATCGCGCTAAACTTATAAACACCACAGCATCGTGCCACAGGAAGGTATTCCACATGCACGCGTCACAGTCGCAGCGTTACCATATCTTCCGCGCAGTCAGGCAGTCTAGCCTGCGGCATTGAACGCTACTTGGCGTGCATATTATCAATCCCTTTATTGTCTTCAAGTCGCGGTTCTATCCGAGATGATGCGCCCCCAGGCAGTCGCGCCGTTCTTTTTCTCAACGCCGTGGCCCGCCTTCTTGGATCATGCAATGCTGCTGGTGGGGAGCTGTCGAAGCCTCTGGGGTTCGGAACGCAACTTGGACCCCGCTCACTTACGCCGCCTTTGCTCGGGTTGGCATCGTAGCAGCCGCGCTCTGTACTCTCCGCGAGAGAAACCGCTCTCGGGCGCGCCACAAGGCGATCAGGAGTAGCCCAGTTGACCCCACACCTGCCCCACCCCGGGCCCCCCTACCAGAGAAGGAGTTCAGGGACAACCTTGGCTCCGGCCAACAAAACTTAAGCCCCCCAGCCTCTGCGTAACATCAAGCGCCTGATCGATATGCCCAGTGCTCCCTGGCGCAATTGCTCTCAAGAGGCTCCCAATAATGGAATGTGGGACACAGGGAATCAGACCAACAACGCTTGGAAATAAGTACGCACGGGCAGATTGACAACGCCTCCCAGCAACTACGCACCCTCCTCGGCGCCGTCTTCGCCGAGCTCCCCCCTCCAGGATGCTGGCGAATGTCTCTGCGCTTGCAGTGCGGATGAGGACACTAACGACTGGGGAACCGAATTGGCGGATGCTGGTTAGATTGAGAGAGGCTTGCCGTCAGGAAAAAAGAAGCGTGCGCTCACTCCGAACAGGCGACGTCACGTCCCTCCCCTCCCAACCTACAACAATACCTGTACGAACGAGCATGGGCTCTAATGGAGTGCCAGGCTAGATGAACATCATGTTTCCCCGTTTGGTTCGAGACCTGTTCAACCATCACATCGTTTGTTCAGAGGGGCACTGCTTCGACCCCCACGGCCTCTGACCTAAGGTCTCTCAGGCGGCCATTCATGCTGGGGTGCCACGGGGAAAGGGGGCAGATGCGATTCGACGCGCCCGCGGTCGCAATCGCACCCGTTTCATCCATCTTGCCGACGGCTTCCCACGCAGTCCGCATAGCATGTGTCGCCATGTCTCACGTCGGCTTCGCCGCGGCGCCAGTGCGCGAAAATGGCAGCACTTGTAAGCGCGCTGTGCTTTCATGCACGGTCAACTGGTCCAGGTTAAACTTGTCCAGATTTTTGCTATTGCTCCGCGTCGAACGCGGATTTAATCTACAGGGTGTCGCGATGTGCCTCAATCAACTTGTGGGCCATATCATCCACTTGCTGAGGCCCACGCATGTCCTGATCTTTGGTCTTCCTCTTCACCGCCCTCAGTGTGGCGACAACTCTAGACCCTGGCGACTGGGTGATCCGCGGGCTTTCCCCCCGCGCAGGAACTGACCTGGGCCTGCCCGGGCCACCTGCGAATGAACGAACAGGTATCGGGAGCTACGCCGGTGCAGCGCCAGGGATCAATTACTTGGGTCGCCGCGCCTGGCCTCATCTGCGGGTGCCCCAGCCTTAGCGCATGACACAGTCACTGCCGTTGCGCCTGGCCGACGGGCACAACATAATCGAGATGATCCCTCATCGTAGCAGTGACGTGGGCAGCGTCATGAACCACGATTGCAGAGGAGGTAGCACCGAAAAGAAGCAGCCCCCCTTTCCCCCCATCCCCACACCCTCCCTCATCCCTCCCCGCATTCCCTCCTAGCTCCCCCCCCCCGCTCGCTCCCTTCCTCCTGACGCTCCCCATCCCCTGACCCAGCGCGAGCAAGGGTCACGAGAGAGCAGCCCTCTCCACCTGCCCCCCCCCCCCCCTGACGCTCCCCTCCCCTGCTGCAGGCGAGGGGCGCGAGCGAGCGCGCACCCCCTCCCCCCTCCGAGCTCCCCCGCCGCCCCCCTCCCGCTCGGCGCGCGCGAGGCGACCGAGCGAGCGGCGAGCAGCGCAGAGAGGCACTGGGCGGCCCGCCCCCCGGAAGCCTCCAGCACCCCGGCGTCCACCAGGTCCTCCGAGCGCTTTGCGAGAAGGGGGGGGGAGCGCGAGGAAGGTGCTTCGAAGCAGGCCCTGGTCGGTGGGGCAAGGTCCCCCCCCCATGATTTGGGAAGGTCCGCTCCTTCGTCCTCTCGCCGTCGGCAGAAGGGACATACAGAATGCGTCAGGATATAGCATGCCAGGTAGCCAGGCGGCGCAGAACACGTCTGAAAAGAAAGGTCTCCTCCTCCTCCTCCTGCTCCTCCTCCTCCTCCTATCAGGCGCTTCGTGCATTGCCGTGCCATCGGTGGCAGCCCTGTGTGCACCGCTGAGATGCGGAAACCAATCGCGCTATGCGTGAATGCGGATTGCCCTTGACCGTTCTCTTTGTCTCACTGCAACTGTTGGCTGACGTGTTTCAAAACGTTTTCCCTTCCAGCCCGCTTCTCCTCCTTCGAAAAGTGTTGATCACTTTTCGGGCATGAAGAACTCCCCACTCGACCCGCGACAAACCAAGATCAATGCCGACCCCCCCACCCCCCACCTCACCCCCCACCCCAAACACACACACACACAACCCGTGTCAAAAGCAAAACAAACTAGACTACGCGGCAAACTCTTGCACCGGTTGCAGAGGAGAAGGGCGGCGGGAGGTGCATCATATTACATGGCGTGTGCGGGCCCACCAACCCTGCCAAAATTAAAACAACGTGCACGCTGCAACAACATCCTGGACCATGCGCGAGGGCCCCGTGAGCACTTCGAATTGCTGGTTTGATAGAGGTGGCGGGTGTGTCCATGTATTGTCTGGTGCGTGCGGGCTTACCACGCCTGTCAAAAACAAATGCGACATAATTAGGGGCACACGCGCCATACACTATGCTGACCCCTCCCCCTCCGCCACTTCGCACTGGCTTGTTGACAGGGCTGGTGGGGCTTACCGATGTGTGGGTTCACGTGTGCTGACGCACCTGGCTGGCTCCTCTGCATGCACCGCGCATGCGGCGCACCTAGTGCGGGTGGTGCAGCACGTGGCACACCTTGCGCATGTGGCGCACGTGGCAACGATAAAAAAATTAATAACGGTGGCGTGGCACACTTGGCGCATGTGGAGCACGTAGCGCATCTGGCGCACCAGGCTCGTCTGGCGCGCCTGGGCCCCCTGGGGCGCCTGGCGCACGTGGCGCACCCCTGGGCGCAGTTGGCACGAGAGGTGCGGCACCCCTTGCGGTTCCCAGTGGCTGGCTGTGCATCCAATGGCGGCCCGTGGCGCTGCTGAGACTCGGGTGCTGCTCCTGCTGTGGGAGGGCGGGTGGGAACGAGCGAGACGGCTTGCGGCAATCCTTCGGGGTGCCTTGGTCACTGCGCCCTGTGAGTAAGCACCCCCTCCCCCACCCAACTGGCAGCTAACCCGTACCCATTGGCCCAGCCTAGGAGAAGAACAAAACGCCATACACATATACTTTTGGCGCTCGGCGCGGACTTCTCGGATCCGCGCTGGACCCCCCTCCCTGGCGCGCGGAGCGCGCCAGGGGCGGAGCCGCAGGCGCTGCCGGTGGGGCCCAGCGCGGGTGGGTCCAAGAATTTTGCGCGGAGCGCCAACAGTTTATGTTTACAGAGATTTTTCTTCTTCGACACCCCCCACCATCCCTGTTAAACAAATCATGCAACATTCGCGCAAGGAGGAGAAGCAAGGAGGAGCTGGGAAGGGGGAAGGAGGGAGGAGCGAGGAGGGAGGGAAGGATCCTCCCTCCTCCTCCTCCTCCTGCTCCTCCTCCTCGTGCTCCTCCTCCTCCTCCTCCTCCTCGTCCTCCTCTTACATCTTCGCCTCCAAATCTGGAGCATGCGCGGGCGCGCTCCTCAACCGCTCTGCATGGGTTTTGTGGGCAGGGGCCGCGGAAGTGCCGGCATGTTTTACCTGCTCTGCGCCATCCCGGCACCCCCCCACACCATCCCGTCAAAGGAACAATGCGAAGTACAATGTGCGACAAAATCCACGGTCACGTCGTCGTCGTCGACTTCGTCTTCGCCGTCGTCGTCGTCGCCGCCGCCGCCGCCGCCGTCGACGCCGTCGCCGTCGTCGCCGTCGTCGTCGTCGTCGTCGTCGTCTCCAGGGTCGGCGGCACCGACCGTAACGCCTTCACAATCTACGGTCATGCTCGGGCCCCCCCGCGAGCATTTGGTTTTGTTCTTTTGTTTTTGTTGACACGGACGGGGGGGGTGCCAGCATATGGCCTGCTGCGCGCAGGTCCACCACCCCTGCCAGCGGAAAAAATACAACTGCACGTCGCGGCGAAATCTTGACCTTGCGCGGGCATCTCACGTTGCATTGGCTTTTGACAAGGGCGACGGGGGTGCTGGCACGTTGCCTGCTGTGTGCAAGCCAACCAGACGTCATGATGGCCACTCCGCCACGACTGTTCATGGGCTCTCGTCAAGGATGGTGGAGGCTGACATGTTTCTCCCGATGTGCGTGGGCGCACGTGGCACTGCCTGCGCGAGCCCCGCACGTGGCGCACCCGACGCGGCTGGAGCACGCGGCACACTTGGCGCACCTGGAGCACGTCTGGCGCACCGGGCGCACATGGCACGCCTGGGCGCCTGATGCGCGTGGCGCGCCGCGCGTGGCGCGCATGGCACGCGTGGCGCACCTCGCCCCAGCGTCGCGCACGTGGGGTGCGTACTGGTTCCCAGTATATAGCTGCCCGTCCGGAGACGACCGCTGAGTACGCTGAGACTCGGGTGATACCTTTGTGTTGGGAGGGCGGGCGGGAGTGAGCCACGCGATTTGCGTCTGGGAGGGGTGTCTTGATCCCTCCTTTCATCACCTCCCCTGGGTCTGGATGGGGGGGAGGTGCAGCACGCTCGTTTTCTGCCCAAGATGGCCCCAGAGAGCGCAAAGTGACCTTCACAATTTGGTTTTATAGCCTCAAGATGGATCCACGATCGCCAATGAGAGCTCCAAGAGGGGCCCATAAGAGCTCCAGAAGCACCCCGACCTCGACACGCCCGACATGGGTACAGACAAGGTACACGATGCCCACCAACACATGTTGTCCAATACCGACACCGGCTGCGGTTTGGCAATTGGAGTTCTGTCTCAAATCGACAGCGTCCGCGGCAACACCGACAGCAAGCTCTGTAATCTGTTCAAATGGACGGGACCTCGTGTCTGTATGGCGGTTTCCAGAAACCCTGAACCAGAAAGCCTTGCCATGTCTTGGGTGAGGGAGGTGGGGAAATTATTGCTTCTGACGGCTTCCGCCAGCCTGCCGCCACCTTCCGCCGAGGCAGAGATGCAAATCTTCGACCCTCGAAGGCGATGCCGCTTGTGGCACGCCTCATCTTCGTCCCCATTCTTTCCGCACCCACTTCGATCGTACCGACAGGAACGCCCAAGAGCGGACCAAAAGCGCTGAGGGCCCCAAGAGTCGATGCGCCGGTCCCATTGTGGCGGCCCCAATCGGCGCTGCCTTTTGTTTTAACGATGTCCTCCAAGATGGCCCCTCAGAGGGCTCCCAAGGCCCCAGAGAGGCTGCTAAGCAGCTGACAAGAGGGCTCCAATATACTTTCCAGGTCAAAGGTAGCCCACTCCTCCTCCTCTTCTTCCGCAATTCCGGGTTCTGATCAACGACACCCCTGTCACATAACTAGACGTGTTCATATGCAGGGCCGGATATGGCCCTTGAGGCTCCCATGCAACTCACTACCACGACACCGAACAACGCCAAAAACGGCTACACGGATGGAGGACCGGTCGTTTGCAAAATGGGGCTCTCACCTTGCGCCGCGCACACCCTCGTGACAAGCGTGCACCAGCCACAAGGATGGAGGGCCTGTTGTCTTCAAAATGGGGTCCTGACCGTAGTGCCGCGCACACACTTGTCTCTAAAGTTTGCAACGGTTGCACGGGCGGAGGGTCAGTGATTCGCAACATGCAGCTCTCGCCCCAGTGCGCGCACATTCGTCCGCGCATTACTTGCAAATGTACACATCGTTCATTTCTAATCGTGTTCATTTCTAATTGTGCTCGCTTCAGATTGTTCCTGGCCCCCCAGTGGCCAGGAAGAGGTCCAGGATAGAACAATTAGAAATGGAAGGATCTTGGCCCCCCAAAAAATCAAAGAACTTTCGAATGCTTGGAAATGAACAATGTGTATAACTTGCAAATGTAAGAAAATGGAACCGCCGTTTCCAAAATGGGGCTGTCGCAGAAGCGCCGCGCACATTCGTCATAAGCACTTGCGACAGTTACGAGGACGGAGGCTGGCTCGATCTCAACGCGTGGCTTTGGGTTTAGAACTTCTCAAACTCTACATCGCGAATGTCATACTTGCGCACCAATTACAATCGGACTCGATTGGACAGGACACGCGAGAGGACACAAGACCCTTCCGAGGGCCACGTTGCCACAGGAATGCAGGAAGCATGGGTCGCAAGACACAGGACACAAGGGTACCCTTGATTTGGCAGGGTCGACCTACTGATCTGGGCCGACTGTGCATGGATGGAGGACGGCCCCTGTTCCAAGTAGAGCTCCCGCATAGCAATGGCAAGACCTTCGAACGTGTGCAACAGAGCTCAGCTACTCGCTACGAGTGGGACCGTGACCGTGCCGGTACCTTTCGGTCTCCTCGCGCTCGGTTCGGGGACCTCCGCGCGTGCATCCCTCCGGCGTGGCCCGCGTGAGACTCCTTCGGCCCACGGCCGTTCCCGGCCGCCTCGCTACGAGTGGGACCGTGACCGTGCCGGTACCTTTCGCTCACCCAACCCGTGCTAGACAGACAGAGGGTGGCTCCTTCTCAAAACGGGGCCTCGCCCGAGTGGCAGGGCGACTGGCGCTCGTCACTCAAGGGGGGGGGGGCTTGCAGTGGAAACAATCCATGTGAGGACCAAGAGGGCCCCCGAGGGATCCCCAAGAAGCTCCCAAGAGACACATGGATGGCTCCCAGGAGGCACCCCAGACCCCCAAAATACCACCTGCTGCCTCATGATTATCCTCCTGCCTCCTGCCTGCTCCTCCTACCTCCTCCTCCTCCTCCTCCTCCTCCTCCTCCTCCTCCTCCTCCTCCTCCTCCTCCTCCTCCGCCTGCCTCATCCTCCTCCTGCTTCCTCCTGCCCCCTGGCTCCTCCTTCTCCTTCTCTTCCTTCTCCTCCTCCTGCTCTTCCTGCTCCTCCTCCTCCTCGTTTTCCTCTTGGGGCCTCCCCTTCCTCCTGGGGCATCCTGCCTCCTCCTGGGGGAATCTTGCTGCTTCCTGGATTGGATCCTTTTGGGGCCTCCCGCTGAGGCTTCCCGGGGCCGCTTGGTGTGGCCTCCCGGGGCCTCCTGGGCATTCCTGGGCGGCTCCTGGGGCCCTCCAGGGTCTGCCCGTGCGGCTCCCGAGGCCTCCCCGTGGGCTCCTGGCCTGTGGTGGTGCTCCGCCGCTCGAGAGCTCCTCGCGGCGCAGGTCCGAGAGCCCAAGAGTGATGAGAGCGGAGGGCGCTGTATGGACCGCTCGGATCTCCAAGGTTACCCCTGCATCCCTCCTTTTCGGCCCGTCCTTGGCCGTTTTCGCTGGCCGCGCCCTGCTCGCAGAGTGTGAGCATGGCCTTGCAAGGCCCTTCCACCCTTTATCGCGCGTCCTTGTTAGACGGGTTGACTGTAGCATGAGGTGGGCATCCATTGGGTGGGAACTCTCGCTCGAGACTGCCTCACACTTCACTCACAGACGATGCTCCCGCTCGAGACTTCCTGCAGACTCAGGCCGCAGGAATGTGCGTGCGTGCGTGTGTGTGTGTGTGACAGAGCGAGAGAGAGCGCCAGGGTGCGTGAGTATGTATGTGTGGGTTTGGTGTTGATGATGATACGTGATGGCGTCGATGATGACGCTGATGATGATAACCATGACGACGCGACCATGCACTATAATTATGATGATGCTGATGCTGACGCTGAGGATGGTGGCGATGATGATGATGATGATGATGATGATGATGATGATGATCGTGGTGGTGGTGATGATGATGATAGTGGTGGCGATGAGTATCATGATGCTGCTGTTGCTAACGATGACGATGATGATGATGGTGATGATGATACTGATGATGGTGATGATGCTGATGATGATGATACTGATGCTCATGGTGACGGCGACGACGACGATGATGATGATGCTGATGCTGATGATGATGATGATGATGGTGGTGATGATGATGATGATGATGATGATGATGATGATGATGCTGATGATGATGATGGTGATGATGATGATGATGATGATGATGATGATGATGTGAGTTGTGATGAAGGAGGGTGAGGGTGAGGGTGAGTTTCTGCGCTGGGGTATCCAGAGAAACCAAGGGTCTCGCTTAGGATGTGGGGGCAAACGGCAAACCATACATCCACGCTCCCGATGCCACGATCCAACGAACCAAAACACTGAGTCGCGCAGATGAGGCTGCGACCCCTCCCAAACAACACGTGCATGCGCGCTCCCGAGGCCACGATCCCCAATAGGAAAACATTGCATCCGCTCTCCCGAGCTTTCCACAGGGCCGAGGCAGGCAACCGAGGCCGCCAAGATGGCCCAATACGCCTCCGAGACGGCCCACGAGGTCCCTAAAGGTACCCCAGGATGGCCCCGATGCCCAAAGGAGGCCCCCCGAGACGGTCGAGCAGGCCTCAAAAGCACCCCCCCAGGAGGGCCCGACGAGTCCCCCAATCAGATCCTGCTCCCAGGCTGCACAGCGCAGGCCGCATTGTGGCACCTGCGCCATCGGAGGCACCGAAGAGCCACTCGGTTTTGCAAGCACCTCAAGTACGCGGCAACCTCCAGCGGGCACTGGAGATGCAGCCGAGAGCGAGGGGAAACGCGAGGGGGAACCGGCTCGGGTGGGGAAACACTATTGCCTCGGAGTCGGCGATGCGTCGCCGATAGATCGGCGATAGGCCCCCCATAGCGAATCCGCCCGCATTCCGGGCAGGGTGGAGGCTGTCCCTTCCCTCGCTTCGCGTGGCAGCTCAATATCCCCGCGTGGCTTCGCGGCCCCGTTTGTGTCTCGGTCGGTCCCTTCTGCTCGTGCCTCTTCCCAGCCCTCGCTTCGCCTCGCTTCTCGGGCCCTCGTTCGGTCCCCCCTTGTCGTGCTGCCTGGGAACTGAGGCCAAACGTCAGCCCACGGGCGCGTCACGGGCTCTGGCCGCACGTGACGGCGACGCCGCAGAGGTGGAGGCCTGGCGCTCTACAAGGCCATGCGGTGGGCGCACTGCTCCTGAGGGGCTTCCTCCTCGGAGTGGTCATCCTCCCCCAGCAGGCCTCCGACGGCGAGGCCGGCACGGCCCAGGCTCTTCACGTACAGGTTCAGGTACCTTCAGGCGATGTCAACTGACCACCTCACCAATCCTGGACGGGGCCCATCTAGGGCCCAGGGACGTGTGGCCACCGATCCTTGGCCCAAGATTGGCAAGATCAGTGAGGTGGTCAGTTGACGTCGCCGGATACCTGAGGCCCTGCCGCGTGTGCCCGTGGGCGACCTTTAGCTGCACAGGCCCGAAGTGCATCCAGTGCGCCCGTACGGCGCCAACGTCCTGGGCGCGGTAGCGAAGGCCGCCCGTCTGCTTCGCGTTCGCGGCCACCCACGCCCCGGTGACATTGACCTCTTGGAAGTACATGTCCGTGCACTGTCCGCCCAGCCTTTGCGCATCGGCCTGCACGAGAAGAAACGCTCTACCGGCGCGCTCTCCACGAGGGATGTTTATCAGAACGTGCCTCCCTGGCTGCATCAAGTCGAACCGCTCACCATGGATGTTCTGAAGGTGAGGATCGCCAGTGGCGCCGACCGGGCCAGGAAGTGGCGCCGTCGGGTTGGGCGTAGGATAGGACGTCGGGCTGGGCGTGGGTGTGGGCGTCGGTGCGATTGTGGGTGCGAGGGCGACCAAGTTGACACTAGCCGGGGTCACAGGTAAATTGGTGATCCAGTTCTCTCGCTTCGAAGCCGTCAGGAGGTCCCACCTCTGCGAACTTGACATGGATCCCGCCGTGGGGTTCGCCTCGTACATGATTGCCGCAAGCCCAGAGACGTGCGGACATGCCATGGACGTACCCGAAGCAAGACCCAACGCAGTGTTGCTGCCAATGAATGTCGAGATGATGGACGAGCCTGGAGCCCAAACGTCGACGCAAGTGCCGTAATTGCTGAAGACAGACTTTGCTCCTGCCGAATCATAAGATGCCACCGTGATTGCCGACGGGATCCAAGCCGGATTGTAGCCGCACGCGTCAAGATTTTGGTTCCCTGCAGCAACTACCACGGTCACACCATCGTCCACCAACGCGTTGATCGAGGTCTGCTCCGATAAGCTCTGGCCAACGCCCCCAAGACTCATGCTGACCACTGCTGGACGTAAACCAGACGATAAAATATATTGCTCTGCAACAATGGCCCAAAAAGTGTAGCCGCTGCCGCTGTCGTCGAGGACCTTCATTGCCCACAAGGTCGCGCCATCCGCGACGCCGTATGTCGAGGACCCAACTGTGCCCGCGCAGTGGGTGCCGTGCCCATGACGGTCCGCAGCGCACGTTGTACTGCTGGGCGTGCACACTGTGAAAGTCCCCGTAGAGGCGATGTCCGCTCCAGCGAAGGCCCTGCCGCCGAATTCGCTGTGGGTTGTATGAATGCCGGTGTCCAACACGTACACATTCACCCCCACGCCCCGCCCTCGGACCACGTGCGCATCAATGTCTTGGATGTTCCACGGGTAGGTCCGCCGTTCGGTCTCGTCTGGAACGATGTGTTCCCAAGCCCTTTTGACGAACGGGTCCTCTTCGCATGTGACCACGAGCGCGGGGTACTTGGCCATGGTCGAGTCTTTATCTGCTTCTGTCAGGAATCCTTGCACAAATGGCTCTGGACATTTCTCTGCTGGTGGCAGACATTCTTCAGTTCCAATGCAGAACGGGTTCTGGAACTCCTTGCAAAACGTTTTCACCTCCTCAGTC